CTATATCTCATAAGAAATTTTGACAAGCAATATCTGAGATTTTGCTGCTTATGCCTCTTTCTAGGATTTTTGTGGTTTTGGATCTAACTGTAGGGGACCAGTTTGTTTCAGTCTGGTAAATGTGACTCAGCTCTGTGTGGAAAACCTACAGAAGCCAAGTGGTGGGCAGGAGCCAGACCTTCAAACCAAGTTTTCCCATGGGAATCAGGCCTAGAAAATGCACACAGACTGTTATGGCTTGCTCTGGCTAAAACTCCATCACCCTGGTCTAAAACAGCAAATGTTTATTGTCTATCTTCAAGGTAATTTCCAAACCCAGTTTGAATTTTCCCAAGGACAGAGCTAATCAGCTCATCACCATTCTCCTCTGTATGTTATTTTCATTTCCTTAAATGTCCCTAAAATGTAGACAATACTATTCTATGTGATAGATAATAAATCTTTCTTTGATGTAAGACCCAAGAAAAACAATAAAAGCTTATCTAGGCAAGAGTGGAGGCTCTCTCCTCTTGAGAGAGTGGCAGAGGCATTCATAGGCACTCCCCCTTGAGAGAGTAGCCGAGCTGTCCCCTTTTTCTCCACAGGACTGCCCTCTCCTGTGCATTTATTCTCGTCTCCGCCACACCTGGCGCCCAGGATCAGGGACCCAGAGGCTATGAGCCATCATTGTGGCCAACACACCAACAGGGCTGGAATGCACACAGCAGCCCAGGTAAGGGCGGGCGACCCCGAAGACCCCGAGTGCTTTTCGGTAAAGTCGTAGGGTGTGTTGTATTTCAGGGAAAAAGGGTATTTTTCCAAGGTCACCCTCTCTTGCAACCGCACTCTCTTTACTAAGCAGAAGCCTTGCTTTCTCTCTGTCAATCACCACATTTCTCAGGCACAGGTCTACCATGTAAAAGCCACAAGGGCACTCGCTGCAACAAAGCCACCCATGACAGGATAGGTTGCACGTGGGCCAGGAAAGAACACTAGGTTTCCTACCAACTGCAAGCAAAAGCCCACGCAACAAGAGGCACACTGTAAAAAACATTCACAAGCCCATCCATGTGGCACAATCCCCAATCAGGTTTTAGGCTTGGGAGAGAGAGCAATGAATTTTCCTTTCAATTAGGTTTTTTTCTTACAGGTGCCTCTGTGCACTTTCTTTAAAAGTTGCTTTTTGCAGCCCTTTTGATTCCTCCTTTTCCCTCCACCTGCCAGTAAACAGAAAAGCAGATAGTAAATGAGTGTTTCAGTTTCAACTGGACTCCAAAGATTATTTTGAGAACTCAGTGTTAGTTACAGGGTTATTTATGAGTGTCTCAGCTTCTTGCTGAAGCACTGAAGATAAGAGGCATTTCTCACTCCAGCTTGAGATCTCAGCATTCCTACATGAGTAGGAGCCTTGCAGAGGTGCCTGGGGTCAATCCCCAAGACTTGCAGGGGCCTCACAGGGAATTCCAATCACAGTAATTTAATTCTCTGCTAGGTCAGGGAGTGCAATATAAACGTTGGTTACATGGGGCTTCGAGCCCCGCTTGCAGTCTTAGGCTCCAGGGAGAAACCTAAAACCCATAAGCAGGGTTAGGGTACCCTGGATACCAGGCAGCCCTGCCCTGACAGTTTTCACCAACAGTATATTTTTGACCCACCACACTATACTCCCCAATAGCTAATTAGCTAGGGTTTAGTATGGGCTGGGGAGTCTGAAATGGCAGAAATCAAAAGTAAAAACAGAACTTGTCAACAACAAGAATGGGCTCTCTAATGAGCAAGAGCAATGTTTTATGCTGATTTAGCAGTTTTTAAAAGCTGCTAAATATTTCCCTGATAAGGGTTCTTCAGACTTGGTTATTCAGGAAAAAGTTGGGCAGAAGCTGAAACACGACCAGGTGGTGTGAGATAAAGGCTAGTGTCTCACTCCCTCCTTTAGAGGATTTAATTTGAAAATACTGGTTTGCTTGAATTTTATTTTTATTTTTGTTTTAAAAGTAAGGCCCAAGTCTCAAAATGTTTTAGTAAAAAGAATAAGATATCTAGCGTTGTTACATCATGAGGATTCTACTCAGAAAGAATTTAAATTGATTACTTTTTTAAAAAAAAGAAAAAAGCCCTGGCTGGCATAGCTCAGTGGATTGATCACTGGCTGCGAACCAAACTGTCCCAGGTTCGATTCCCAGTCAGGGTCCATGCCTGGGTTGCAGGCCATGACCCCCAGCAACTGCACATTGATGTTTCTCTCTCTCTCTCTTTCTCCCTCCCTTCCCGCTCTTAAAAATAAATAAATAAAATCATTTTTAAAAATCTGGATGTCTACTTAAAAAAAAGAGAGGAAAACATCTCACTTCCCTCAGACAGTAAAAAATGCAGGAATGAAAACAATGGGAAAATGTGTCTTTTAACCACTCTGAATCCTCTTTCTGAAGACCGAGGGACTGCTTCAGTCCTGGGAACAAGCTATGTCAAGCTTAGTGTCCTTCCCACCTCTTCTCCAGCCTCCCTAAAATTTTCAAGGGCACTAGCTAATGAAACAGCTCACTTTTGAGCACATTCCAGGAATGTAGTAGTCACCAAAAAAAATTGTTTTAAAAAGTAAATGTATTTGCTGGTAGACAAAAAACTGTTTCTAAAAGTTATGAGTGTGTTCATAAATTTGTCCATCTAAAGCATGCTATAAGTGGGACAGGAGGTGTGACATGTTAAAGAAATATTAAGAATCCTCCTTGTTTATGCCGGAACCATGACCTTTTATTGTAAAAATAAAATATAAGTTTACTGTCTCCCAGGGAGAACTAGACCTTCTCCCCAGAAGACTAAGTAACATTTTTTAACTAAACACCTATAAGCACTGATCGTTTCCTTGGGGAAGAACTGGCTATCCTCCCAGAAGGAATGGTTAGTCATTCAAGTGAGGGAAAGGCCCTTGACATGTAACCACTTTTGTCTAAAACATATTTGAGCAGAACCGCCCTCATCCTCCCCATTTTCCTTGCAAATTTTGAACCTAGAACCTACCAGGTCCTAAGAACAACAGGGCAGTTAACTTACTGCTCAAATCATTGCAGCTTGCAAAAACAGCAGAGAGCCTGTCTTTCCAAGCAGAGAAAAAATGGCACTTTTAAAGTTGAGACTATTTTTCAGCTGCGGATTAGAACCAAACTTCATTCACACTGCTCCCTACTTGTTGCAAACTAGAAAGCCAGGGGTTAAGGGCTAAAAGCCAAAAAGAGCCCTTCCAGAAGGGCAAAAATAAGACCCTCAAAACTAAACAGAAAAAGGAATAGAAAAGTTAAAAGACTGTTTATTTACCATTCCCAAGCTAAGCAAATTATTAAAGAAGGCCTTGACTGTCAAGCCCTTACTAAGGCATCTCCACCCATGGGAGTTAATCCTCCCGGACTAAGTTCTCAAATGATTTGGCAAACAAATGTCACTCATTACTCTCCCTTTGGAAAATACAAATACATTCATATTTCTATTGATACTTACTCTGATGCACTACATGCATCTACTCTAACAGGAGAATCTGCTAAAAATATACAAGTCCATTGGCTTGAAGCCCTTAGTCACTTAGGACAGCCTCAGCAAATTAAATCTGATAATGGCTCAGGATATCTTGCCCATTCTACTCAAACCTTCCTTCAGCTTTGGAATATCCAACATAAAACATGCATATCTTATAATCTAACTGGTCAGGCAATTGTTGAACGGGTGCATCATACCTTTAAAAATCTTCTTAAAAAGAAAAAAGGGGGAGTCAAGAGTCTACCCCCCAAAATTTGATTATCTTAGCTATGTTTACCTATAATTTTCTAAACTTCAGTGAATCACTCTGTACTCCAATTGAGAAACACTTTCAGAAGAAAGAGCTGAAGTCATCTTATCCTCAGGTTTTATACAGAGATCTGCTGAGAGATGGTACTTGGCAGGGCCCTGTAGATCTCTCTTAACATGGGGAAGAAGGTATGCATGTGTCTCCATCCCTACAGGTCCTGTCTGGCTTCCAGCTAAAAGGGTGAAGCCTTATCATAAACAAACCAGACATCAATCTCTGCTACCTGGAAGTGAAAACCCATCAGCTAACAGACCAGGCAGCCCAGTAGAAGAAAACAAGCACTGGATTCAGGTGCCAAAAAAAATGCGGTTTATGGTGCTAAGTATTTATTAGTTTATTTTTCTGTTCTTATTGACACTTTGTATTTTCCTTTAAAGGAGCAACTTTATGCTGCAAGCAAAGAACAATAAAGTAATTATTATCAGCTTTCCATGGTAACTATAATTGGCCTGTGTACCCAGGAGGGGATTTATCACACTCTCAATCGCCCTCTGGTTCCTCCTTGTACTTTAGATGAAAGCCACAAAGACTCAGTCTCTTGGTCTTTGTGCAGAGGACCGAATGCCACTACTGCTTTTCTCCCCAAAAGTCCTTTTATAGTGTAGAACTGGGGAGCTAATTGGAAAGTACTGGCTAAGCTTGGCACAACAATAGTTTCGGCTCTGCCCCAAGTCCCATATACTATGTGGTGGGAGGGGCCCAGTACTAGACATCTATTATCAGAATCATTTCTCTCAATCACACTAGCCCTTGGCATTACAATTACTGGAAAATGGGCTTGCCTTTTATTGCTAGAAAATGCCTCTATAAAATTTTTTTAAAAGTCTCTACCGGGATGGGCCTCCAAAACAAGACTGGGTCACAGTTTGTACCTCTCACCCTTACTTGTTTTTGGCAACTCCAGGGACAGCTGAAGTCTTTTATAATATATCAGCAAAAATTTATTATTTACCTGTCCCTGCAGGCTCCATATATGGAAGTTGTCTTACTCATCTCACTATTACTCAGTTAAGCCTCACTCTGGTTTATAAAATTAGAAGATAAACTCAAATATGAGTGCCAGTTAATGTAACCAGAGAATGGGAAGATCCCAATGGCATAATAGCGCTTAACAATGAGCTGGCCTCTTTAAGAGTCCGACAGTTTGTTGGCATTTTAATTGCATTTATTGTCTCTGCTATAGTTGTCCCAGCTACTGTGGCCATGGCAACCGCTGTCCTCATTGGGTCAGTTCAAACTGCTCATACTGTTGATGTTCTCTTGACCAATTCCACTTTCAAAATGCTTCAACAGGCCCAGATTGATCAAGAAATCCTGACTCAGCTTTGTGCAGTCGGATCAGCCCTCAACTGAAACGGTGAACGTCAGGACGTGCTAGTGACCCGTCAGCAGCTCACCTGTGATCCTGGTTTCTCCAAACTGTGTGTCATCCCATTACAATGGAACTCCAGCCAATACTCCAGGACTGATATTCAACATCACCTAAAAGGAGCTTTTTCTACTCATTCAAAGGGACAAATTAATAAACTGCAACTGGAGTTTGACACAAACAGTTGCAGGATATTCAATGCTTAACTAAGCAGGAGATTCTTCAAACCCTTAATGATAATCTCAGCTCCTTAAACACAAAACACTGGTTTGATGGACTCAAACTAAGACTACGGTTCATTGGAGCCACTGGTTGTTTACTGATTTTATTAATGCTTTGTATTTTATGATGCATTTACAAATAAATATTTGCCCAGGGTCCCAAAAGAGAACAGCAAGTAGCAAATCTTGTGGGATGAGTCACTGCAACAGCCTTAACAAAAACAAACAAAAAAGGGGAATTGTAGGGGACCAGTTTCCTTTAGTCTGACAAATGTGACTCCGTTCTGTGTGGAAAACCTACAGAAGCCAAGTGGTGGGCAGGAGCCAGACCTTCAGACTGAATTTTCCCATAGGAATCAGGCCTAGAAAGTGCACACAGACTGCTATGGCTTGCCCTTGCTAAAACTCCATCACCCTCGTCTAAAACAGCAAATGTTTATTGTCTATCTTCAAGGTAATATCCAAAGCCTGTGTGAATCTCCCCAAGGACAGAGCTAATCAGCTCATCACCATTCCCCTCTGCATGTTATTTTCATTTCCTTGATTGTACCTAAAATGTAAACAATAACATTCTATGTGACAGATAATACTTCTTTCTTTGAACTAAGACCTGAGAAAAACAATAAAAAGCTTGTCTAGGCAAGGGTCGAGGTGCTCTCCTCTTGAGGAAGCAGCCATGCTGCCCCCTTTTTCTCCACAGGATGCTGTCTCCTGTGCTTTTATTCCCGTCTTTGGTCACAACAGGCAGACTCTGCTGACCGGACTCCACCACATCTGACATTTAACTTTTGGATCCATTTTGAATTTATACTTGTGTGGGATGTAAGATGATCTAGTTTCATTTTCCTGCACATATCAGTCCAATTTTCCCAACACCATTTATTGAACATACTATCCTTAGTCCATTTTGTATGTGCTTGCTTCCTCTGTTGATCATTAAGTGACTATAAATGTGTGGATTTACTTCTGTGATGTATATTCCATTGATTTGTGGTGTAAACAGGTGAAACTCTTTCGATCTTTCCTACTGAGCTAGGGCCCGTATATTTCAACTGCATTGTCATTGTCTACCCAGTACACCATGGGCTATGCTACATCATACTACTAAGGAGGGACCTAACACATTCCTATATTTTATAATTACAGTACTGAGTATGGGAAAAGGGAACCAAAAGTCACCAAAACCTGGAGTTTTGTGAAAGTATACCCTAATTATACTGAAATATACAGGAAAAACAGACTGCAAAAAACTTTTGTGGAAAGAATCTTTCAAAGAATATAACCATTGATTTAGACCTCTTTTGAAGGAACCAGAGATTGAGTGCCTCTCATTCCAATACAATTTAAGTCCATAAAACTTTACTAATCAAACTCTCATTCAAATAAATATGTAGAATCTGTTAATGTTTATATATTTTCAGGTAGCTAATATAGTAGTTTATAGGATGAATGTAAATTTCTCATTAAGTGTATTTCTTTTTGGAGCACAAAACATTAGTGTCTTTATAGACAATATATTTAGAATCCTACTCTTTGGTGGAGGTCATTAGTGGTAATACTGGTCTTCTTTTGCTAAGGTTTACTTTATATTCTGTGCAAAAGTAGCATGGGCCTTTAAATAATGTTTCTCACTCATCTCTGTTGAAAAAAAAAAAAGACAGAAAAGAACCAATGTCTCTGTGATAAAGGATGCAGATAGTGAAACCTGAGGCTTAAAAGTGAACTGTTTTCTCATATTTCATGTGCAGCTGAGCAGCACTGAAGGCTCTTGGGAAACAAGGGAAGATAACAAAGGGAGCCCAGAAGAATCACCTTCTTCTCCAGAACACGCACATCCAGTCCATCCGCCTCCAGGGGCTTACCTCTTCTGTTTGGACCAGACTCCACTGGAGCGAAAACTCTACTGCCCTGACACAGGTATCGCCAACTATATCTATAGCTGTGGCTCTCAGTGCATATCACTGTTATTACTGCCACCCGATTGCCTATACAGAACACAGAGAATAGGTTGTTTTTCAAAGTAATCATAACTTCAATCTTGTAGGCAAATGAGCTGAACCATTCAAGTTCAAAAATTACCTTACAAATGAATTACCTCCTATACAGTTTTCTTAGTTTAACATGGAATATAACTGATGGTTTCTTGGTATATCTGTTGAATTAGCCAAATGCATCAATAGAGTAAATGGTCATATCAAAGAGGACAAAATATGAGAAAATAAGGAAATATTTTATTTAGTACTAAATATAATTTAGTAATTATTCTTCTCTGTATACTAAGATGGTTTTCTATTTAACATCTACCTCTGAACTTTGCTAATTTATGTGATATATATTCACATTACTGATATATTGCAGACTTGGTAAAAACTATTTAAAGGCATTATAAATGTATGCCTGTAAATCATATTTTCTTATGAGATGTTATCTTGTGGTAAATGATCAAAAGGTATAGTGAATATTATTAACACACAGAGGCCTATATATTTTACTCACATCATAAAAGATAAGTGGAGCATAATGCTGAGAAAATAAAACGAAGCTATGAGTGTTTAAGTTGATGATACACAGGGAAACTGGTGAGATTAAGAATTTAACATATTTTTTCAGTAAACAGAATTTTATTTCTATACATTTCTTTGTTGATTACTGAGATAATATGTAAAATGCTTGAAACAAGTTAATTAAATTTTTAACATTTGCAAGTAAACTTGAAAGAGTAGTTGACTTTAGCCTATGCCTTCAAATATTATGGACATGAAACCACTCACCACATGAGAGTACAGCTCAATCAACTGAGTCCTAATTGTAGGACATTCATTTTTAATACCACCTTGGAAGTAATGACAAAATGCTCTTAAAACATTATAGGAATCAAATTCTCTTTGAATCATTAATAAAAGATAAAGATAAACAGAAAAAATATTAGGAGAGATCATGGAGATATTAGCTAATAACACCATATAACACAATATATTTTTAAAATACAAATGACTCATAAAACTTTTCTTGGAAATTTTAAGGGTAGGGAAAATTGTTTAATGTTTTCTATATATTTTATTGACCATCACATTGTTAACCTTTCACATTAAATTAAATATTGTATTTGGAGAAGTCCAGGCATAGTTAGTAAAATGATAATACCTAACTATGGAAAGAAAAATGGTAAATAATAATTTTGAGAAGGGGAAAGAAAATGATCTAAAGCAAAAAACTCTCATGGAAAAGATATTGGAAAAGTAAAATCATTCATCAGTAGTGAATGGTATGAAATACTGATTTTCATTATACATGGACAACCTAGAAATGACATAAACTGAAAACTAATTTAAAAACTATCAATTTGTGTGTTTTAGAATTGTACCTCAAAATTTTTCAGAGATGAACGAAAAAAATACAACATATGTAGATTTGAAACACCTTCCTTACAAAAAGCACATGCAAAACAAAAGTGAATATTTTTCCCAATCCCTACTGAATTCTGTTATTATTTTCTCTTATTTGTTAAATAATTTTGCTAAAGATTTTTTCTTAATTTAGCACATGACACTTTATGTCTAACATCTCAGAGTTTTATCATTTATAAGATTTGTGTGATGGACTTTGTCTACTTGGAAAAAAACAATTACATCGATGTTTTTATTTGGAAAAAATTTAGTCAACCCCCTTCACTCATGTTAATAACCTCCCTGTTTGTGAGAATAGTGTAAATGCGAAGCAATGACCACATCTCTCTTTCAATCTCCAGAGGTAAAAGAGTCTGTAATGTACTCAGGAGTGAACAAATCTACTTCAAACTCCAGACAGACAAAGAGAACAAAGAATAAATCATCCAACAAAACAGGTAAAATTTGTGTAGAGGACCCAGCTTACATGTCCTCTAATTGTGTAGCCTGCCTGAATGTAATTCAACTAGCATTAGTCAGAAACCACAGCTTGCTGTAACTGAGTTAGCCTGCCCACTTTCATGAGGATTTTTAAACCACATTTCATTTCTATACTCCTTCAGAGAAAGCAGTGTGGAAAATTAAATCCAGGTCTAGTTCATTCAGGGAATTAATGTACTTTGGGTGCTGTGTACACATGTGTACAACTCAGCAAGTCAGGTAGGAAAATTATTTCTTTTCAGCTTGTTTGGAAACAATTGTGAATCTCCAGAAGTCACTCACTCATTCTACAAAGTTGCAAGAAACAGTATTTAAACATTATTTGAGATGTTAATCTATTATTTGAGATGTGTTTGTGATTATAACTTCTTCTGTGCAGTAGGTGAGGTTAATCCTAATATTGAAGAACAGTAGTAAGTAAGACTCCTATGAGAAAATTACAATATATTTAATAGGTTTTGCTATTAAGAAATATCAAAATCAGAATATCTTTAATAAGAAATAAGCAAAATAAGAAATATATTCTCATAGTGTAGCAATTAAAGTGATGTATACAGATATTTTATAGAAGTATATTTATAGTTTTAATACCAAGTCTATATATCTAATATCCCACTTTGTATTCCTACATCACTTAGAGGAGGCAGGGGATAATTTTGGTAAAGTTAGAGAGTGTGACTTCCCAAGAGAAGCACAACAAAAAGAATAAGAAGCAGAATGCAAGCATCCAATTCTCCACTCATTGTTGTTTCAAATTGTTCAGTATCACACTCAATTGATAATTTCAAGTTTGAAGACATTCAAGAAGTAGGGCATTGAATTTCTGAAAATTGTCCCACTGAGCTCTGCTTTTAAATTCAGTCTTGTCTTTGCTGAGTTACTCAATCTCTCTTTTTTATCTCTGAGCAGAATCTTCAGTTCCATTTACCTGGTGTCTCACGGCAGTGATCTTCGGAATCTTCTGTTTCATTCTCCTTGTAACAGATAGAATATTGGGACACATGGGTAAGTTCAACCAGCCCTTTGCCCTGAACTGTGTAGCTCATCCCTTAGGACTTAGTTCTCTACTAGTATTTCTTTCCTACTAGTTCCATTGTTATGATCATCACTTTTATACAAGAAACCCTCCCATCTTCACCACTAAAGTGATCACTTGGCCATTTCTAAGTTCTTGAAAACTTCTCACTTCTTCTTTACTCACAAATACTGGGTCATATCCAGGATATTGCCAGGAAAGCTCTGTTGAGGTTTTTGTGATGGTGGATCCTGCTGTGCGCATTAATTTTCACTCTCCTCTCTGATGCCTTCTTACAAGAAACTGTCAGCCTCCTTGGTTCACCATTGAATCTTCAGTCTGCAGCTCAAATTTACTTTGTAAATAGTTTATTCTTGTAAAACCTGCTACAACACAACAATATTTTTCCCCTATACAATTGAAATTGCCTCCTAAATTATCCTTAAGTCAACAGACTTCAAAATTCTCTTCTCCAAATGTCTCTGATTTCATCCTCTACTGAATTATGTTAAAACTCCATTACTTATGTTTGCTTTTATAATTTTCATCTATTTCAGTCAGATAATTTTAAGTTTAAATTCTCATGTCCAATTTAGCTTCAAGTAATTCTAGCTCACTTGCTCTTACCCTCACGTTCTCTAAGTGTCTCTGTCCCAGCACATATGTCTGTATGACATTTCCTCTCGTGTTAGACACTGTGAGTGACTCAAAAATGAGTAACCAGCAAGTCTTGCAATAAAGGCAGTTATAATCATATACAGTACATATAGTTTTCTGTGTATATATTTTTAAAGAACACCATCCTGTTTAATGGCCTTGACTCTAAGGTTGCTGGTTTGCAAATCAAGCTCTTTGATTTGTGTGTATGTATGTGTGTGTGAAATTTATTGACATGTAATTTGCCTATAAAATCCACCTATTTACAGGGTAATATTCAATGGCTTCTAACATATTCAAATTGTAAAATTATAACTGTTATCAATATAAACCATTTTTAGCCACAATAAAGCAACCCTACATGCATTAGCACTTGTTTCCCATTTCCTTTCAAATTAGCCAGCCTGAAACATACACTAATCTACCTTCTACCTCCTATGATTTTCCTATTCTGAGCATCTTATAAAATGCAATCATATAACACATTATCTTTTCACACTGGGTTATTTCAATCAATGTAATATTTGCATGGTTCCTGGATGATGGAAAGTATGGCCTTGATTTAAACATCCAAAAATATTCTATTGTATGGTACGTATATTATATTATGCACATTATTCTTCTCAGATAACAGATTTTCAAATGTTTCCTCCCATCCTTTTGGTTATCTTTTCACTCTCTTGATGTTAACTTTTCATGCACTAAAGTTTCTAAATTGAAGTCTTTCTGGTGTGTCACACTACTCTGGAGCTCACATTGTCAGCCAGTCTCTGCTGGGTTCAGCAGCCACACTGAACTACTTGTGTCACTGGACATGTATTACCCTACAGTCTTCCCCTCGCAGCGAGTGAGTTTCTGCAAAACAGAACCTTTGCATTTTTCATGGTTGTATCCAGGATCCACTAAGATGTGTTACCATTAACTAATATATTTTGAACAAATGATATATAAATGTGTAAATCATATGCAGAGGAGAGACACTTAAAGTGGGCACATATAAAAATGGTCCTTACTCCTGAACATGAACTAACATATTAAAATTAATATATAAAATACATAATAAATTAATATATAATTTAATATGTAGTATATTGTATATATTTATTAATATATAATGTATAATAATATATGATGTATTATATGTAGTTTAATGTGTTATATATTTAATAATATAATTTATTATATTATTAATATATATTAATATATATTATATATTAATATATATAAATATATATTAATATATTAATATAATAAATTATAATAATATAAATTTATTATATTATATATATAATAAATTATAATAATATAATTTATTATATTATTAAATATAATAGATTGATATAAATAAAACTATACTTACTATTCAGTCCCCTGTTATTTTCTCCTTGAGCTAGTGATGTCCAGTAAAGCTTTCCAGGGTCATCTCAAATACCAGCCACAGAAACTGCCACTGGACAACATTACACAGGAAGACAATTTCATGTTGAAAAACACAACTTTCACAGAGGGACCACTCCACACAGGTATGCAGATAAATGACTTGAAGACTGACACCATCAAGGCTCTTCTCTGCTTTCCTCAGTCAGCTGATATCCTGTTCAAATTGGATTTTTTATGCATAAGTAATTTTGGAATCCAAATTTAATTTGTAGTTATTTGAAAAAGACAAAAACCTACCTTTCCAGGAATTAGATTTTATTGTTTGTACAATATTATATTTTTTCAAGGTAGTTACCACATCTCCAGATAATGCTTTTTCTACAGAAAAGCGAGCAGAGAAATAAAAATCAAAGTCTCATTATCAAATTTTCTAATCATTACTACACCTCTCAATATGGGTATGCAGTCAGGGAATAAGTTCAGACTGTCTCTGTACCTACAGATTTTACTCAGTCTAGAGAATTCAAAGAAGCTTCTTTTCATTATTAAGTTCTCTTTGTTGAAGTTGTAGGGAAAATGTCAATCTTCTTAGAAACCCTTCTCAGAAAATTTTTAAAATAGTATGCATAGAATCAGTGAAAAATTTAAGTAATAAAACTCTTCCCAGGCCAGAGATTTTATTTAGAAAGCTGGAATGAAGCCAATCTCATTAAATACATGTTTTTAGGACTAGAAAGGACCTATCAGTGTCTCATCCTCAGACTCCCCTTTGAGGATACACACTGAGTGGTCTGGGGAATATCTTTTCTTTTCAAGGAAGCAAGAGCAGCACATGTGAGAGGAAACACTCATGCAGTGGAGAGAAGTGTTATTATTTTTGGTGTGATTTGAAGACCTATGAAGAGAGTCAAAAATTCTGCAAGAAATTTTACACAGCACTTCTTAAGATACAAGATGAAAAAGAATTGGTGATGTATATTTTCCATTTATTTTTAAGATTTTATTTATTAATTATTAGACAGAGGGTATAGAATGGAGACAGAGAGGGAGAGAAACATGGATGTGCGGGACAAGTATTGGTCAGCTGCCTCTCACACACCTCCAGCCAGAGACCTGTCCCACAACCCAGGTTTGGGCCCTGATAGGGAATTGAGCCAGTGAACTTTCGGTTTGAGGAATGATGCCCAAACCACTGAGCCAGACCTGTCAGGGCTGTCCATTTTCAGTTTCCCAGCTCACATCATACAGAGTTTATCTAGTCATTATTGGCTAAATGTTATGCTCCAGAATACTTGAGTTTCTCTGCACTGCTTACATTGTAAAGTGACTCAGGTTCAGACAGTGCTCATGCTACAATCAGAAATACAAATGGAAATTAAATGTGAATTTTATTTAATTCATCTAATCCATCCACAATAAAATTTTCACAACAATGCAAATGTAAAGTCAAACGTAAGCCAATGAAGACAACAAATCTATCCTTACAATATATTTTTATCAAGGGAAATTGCATATCTTATATCAATTATTTTATAAAAGTATGTCTTCAGCTTCTCTGAAAAAATCATTATACAGCTAACAAAATGAAAAAATGCAGCATTGACACTGAACTAGAGGTGAAAAGAAAACCTCTATACGAATTAAGGTTGAAGGTCAATTACTTCTAAGTCCTATTAAATTTTAACTCATATTAGCTTCCAAATAAAACTGAACTGAATACTTCATGATTTTTATCATTCTATTTTTCTTTGAATACAGAATCGACTTACCATTATTTGGGAAAAAAAACATATCCTAACATTCCAGGTTAAGAATAATGTTTACTATTCTCTCAACAATACAGTAACAGACATTAAGTATCACTCTGTTTTCTGTACTAGTACAATTATCCACTTGCTTTGTTTTCAACAACTCAAAAGGCACTATAAAATATATGAAATTGAAAACCATCAAGAAAACAAAGAAAAACTTGAATCCAGAAAGAAAAAAATTTCAAAGTCTGAATTAACCTCTTTTTAACTTCAACACGAAACTACATGTATAATAATGAAAGTAAACTAGACTTAATGTGGTGATCATTTTGAATATATACTCAGAGCAAATCATGATGTTGTATACCTGAAACTAATATAATCTCATACATCAATTCCTAAAAACAGAAAATTGCAATTGTCATTGATAGAATAAACTTTAGAAGTCTTATTTATTACCTACAAAGTAAAGAATATGCATGAAAATGTTGAATATTGACCAGGTAAGGGAGTTAATCTGATATCTTGATATCTATCTGTTTTACATAAATAAATCATGACATTTTAGTGAGAAAAGTATTTGTAGTTTTCTTTGATAAGAACTACAGAATTTTATTGGATGGTGATCAGATTTTCAGAAATATTTGCATAACTATACTCATACAACCATGAATTACTACAGAAACATTAGCTAAGTGAAATGTGTTTTCCCATGGAACTTTGGGATTTTAAGGGAGCTATACCATAACTGAGTTTACCTTCACCCTTTTTATAGACTTAAAGAATTTCAAAATACATTCTATAACATGCTGTATTCAATAATCCTCTTATTTATTTTCCACTGTTAATGAATCATTTCACAAAAGAAATCTTAACTTGGGGTTCCTTGGATATGCAGAGGTTCCAAGAATGAGTTTCAGATTCTAGGAGTCCTAATTTTACTACAGAGTAGCTTAATTGTTAAATAAAGACATCTGTGAAAACCCTGACATTGAATGTTAAGTTTTATGTCTAGATACATATATGATTTTTTTTTCATGATTTGGACACATATATTTGTTTTCCCCCCTCTGGGCAGAGAAACTAAGCTTTTGCCATCTTCTCAAAGATGTGGGAAACAAAAAGAAAACTGGGAGTATTTTCATTCCACCATATATAGGATGATCAAATGATCTCTGTAAACATTAAAGTGCAAGATGAACATCATTTACTTTTTTACTTATTGAAAAACTGACAGCCAGCCATTATATACAGACACCTCATTTGACAAGTAAGGGATGTTTCCTCAAGATGCTCATTTTGCAGGAAATAACCACAGTCCTTGTAGTACAAAAATAGACAACAATGTTGGTAGTAATCTCATACCTCTGATACCTGAAGCCGAAAGTAGAAATCAGACTTTGATCAGGACTCATCTTTGAGTTACACAAAAAAGTTTCAAAAGGAAGAGATTTCTGTCCTAAGTCTAAGCAAACACGGCTAAACTTAGTGATTTGTTCTGTCAAATATGTGTTTATATTTAATACTTATTAAGTGAACATTTTATATCACCTATGTGTTTTTATTCTGTGTTAATTGACTTATAAAGTACCAAACACTGAGATTACATTATTTTATGATCAGAATGCAATCAGCAGGTAGTTGATCTCTATACTTTTAGTTATTCACAAAAATAGCATAAATAGATTTTTACTCATAGAATATGTTTCCTTTATGACAGAAGTTCATTCAAAGTCAACTGTCCTCTAAGACCTCTTACTCTTGGATTGGATTGTCTCATAAAGGAGCCAACCATTTCTGGACATGGGAAGATAACTCAGCACCCTCATTACCCTCACTGTTCTTTATCACAAAGTAAGTCTCTAGAATAAAAACAAAGTAAGATGATCTATAATCATAGCTGCTGGTTTATATTCCTGAAAGTATATAGGAAAAATCCATCCATGCATATATACATGCATGCACGAGTACATACACATGTACAGACACAGCAACAGCACTTAACTTCAGTAAATGAGCACATGGAGAGACAGAGTTTTTCAACTTTATGTGTATATCCTTCATGAGTTATTCTTTAGGAAAACCTAGAGCCCCAAGGAGTAGTTTCTATAAATTAAGAAAAACCTACCACCTTAACTGTGGTGCAATATCACTTATTGTGTCTGCAATAGCAAATGAATATTTTACTTCATCTATATGTTTCCATTCTATGTTAACCAACAGGCAACAGACAAAGACTGGAAGCTGTGTGAGGATAGCAGCAAGGAAGATGGAAGTTTCTGACTGTTCCAGACGCTCAAACTATGTTTGTGAAAAGAAGATTGCTGGTCATGCTACTTAATAATGAGAACAAAAAAGCAACCACAGAAGACAAGTACAATAAATTTTTCTTCTAAAAACTCAGATTCTTGGAAACCTAGTATCTCTGTTTCATTTCAGAACATCCTTGGTTTTTTTAATGGACTCTACCAGTGTTCCAGCCTCTGCATGAGATAAGGCTGGAATAGTGGGTACATCACAATGAGATAGACCAGACCCTCCACTTCTGTCCTGTCATTGAAGACTGCCAAATTACCATGAGTACAAGCATAAGGTGATGGAGAAACAGAGTATGAGTGCTTCAGATAGATTAAGAAGCAGAATTTTGTACACGTTCTTCCTGCAGCTCACACAGATTTAACAAGTAGCCCTGCAAACTTCAGTCACTGTATTCACATTGGGGCTAGGACATAATGCCGTCAGTCAGTGAAGGTATTTCCTGTATGAAGTGCATATGCATTTCTGTTTCATTTTTTGCTTTTTGAGAGATAATCAGTAGAGACTACTGGAAAGAGAATACTATCATGAGTTGGATATTAGTTTGAGATCTGCACCAGAACTAAAATATATTCCCTGGCAAGATCACACTACTGATTCTTACTCTTCTAATACAATAGTGAGAGCAGACACCCTCTTCCTGTTCCTGATTTTAGGAAAAAAAAACTCTTTTTTCCCCTTTCAGTATGATATTGGCTATAGGTTTCTCTTATATGGCTTTTATTATGTTGAGGTATGCTCCCTCTATTGCCACTTTGCTGCTTGTTTTTATCATTTATTGGTGATTGTTTTATCAAGTGCTTTTTTCAGCATCCATTGCTATAATCATGTGACTTTTGCCCTTCATTTTGTCCCTGTGGTATATTATGTGGTTAGCAATCTTAAGAAAGAATAACAAAATAAGAGGAATCACAAGACCTGATATCAAATTATACTACAAAGCCTCTAAAATCAAAAGAGTCTGGTACTGGCATAAGAACAGACACATAGATGAATGGACACAATAGAGAATCCAGAAATAAACTGAAGTCTCTTTGGTCAATTAATGTTTCATAAAGGGGGGCATGAGCATACAATGGAGTAAGGAAGTTGTATTCAATAAATGGTTTTGGGAGAAATGGATTAGTAAATACAAAAATAAAGTTTACCAACAACATACACCATACATCAGGTTTAATGATAGAAAACTTAAAGATAAGTAATGGCATCATAAAAGTCCTAAAGGAAAACACAGAGAGGAAAATTTCAGATATGTCACATAGCAATAGTTTTGCCGATACATCTCATAAGGCAAGGGAAATGAAAGAAAACATAAACAAATTGGACTATATCAAACCAAAAGCTTTTGCCTGACTAAAGAAACCATCATCAAAATGAAACAGGATGTATAAAGGGCCCATTGACAAAGACAACGTTGCGGGAAGATTGAATATGAGATGTGGGGACTAGTAGGACAGGGGAGAGTAGTGGGGGCAAAATGGAGACACCTGTAATTGAACAATAATAGAAAAAAATTTTAAATGAAATGTGACTGACTGTATGGGAAAACATATTTACCAATGATACATTGGAGAAGAGTTTCACACCCAAATATATAAACAAGTCATACAACTGAATACCAGAAAGACAAACAATCCAATTAAAATAAGTGCAAAGGACCTGAACAGACACTTTTGCAAGGACATACACATGGCCCATCGACATATGAAAAGATGCACAACATCACTAGTCATCAGAGAGATGCAAATTAAAATCACAAAGAGATACCACCTCAGGTCAGTCAGAGTGGCCATCATAAACAAATCAACGAAAAAAGAAGTGTTGTTGAGGATGTGGAGAAAAGGGAACCTTAGTGTACTGTTGGTGGGAATGAAGACAGATACAGCCAAGGGAAATCAGTGTGGAATTTCCTTAGAACACTGAAAATGGAATTGCCTTTTGACACCATGATTCGGCTGCTGGGAATATACTGTAAGGATCCCCAGTCACCAATTCAAGACAACTTATGCATCCCTATATTCATAGTGCTGCTATTCAGAAGCCAAGTGATGAATATAGCCTAAGTGCCCATCAGTAAATGAGTGGATCAAAAAACCATGGTACTTTTATGCAATGGAATATTATGCAGCAGAAGGAAAGAAGGAACTCATGTCATTCTTGGCAGCATGGATGGAACTGGAGAATATTATGCTAAGCGAAATAAGCTATCAGTGAAATGCAAATACCATATGATCTCATCTATAAGAGGAATCTAATGAACACAATAAACTAATGAACAAAATAGAACCATAGGCATGGAAATGTGGAAGAGATTGAAAGTGCCCTAGGGGAGGTGGTTTTGGGATAGTGGTGGCAAGAGTGGAGGGAACTAGGGAAAAACATATATGAATGTCCCATGGACATGGATAAGAGTGGGGGAATTGACTGTGGATGTGGGGGAAGGATTGGTGGAGGAGGGCTAAGGGGGGAAATTGGGACAACTGTAATAGAATATCAATAAATAATGATTTAAAACTCACAATAGAAAGAAGTTAAGGATTAAACAAATAATTTCAAGGTCTAATAATCATCACAGTACAGTTGAGTGTTGAGTTTGCCCGTGTGCTATTTGGATGAAGTGTATAGCACTTGGAGAGAACAGAAGCAAAGTGAGAAATGACTATTACAAAAACAAAAAGAGCATAGAGTCAGAACATACAGTAAAAGCATTCCTCTTTCATAGACTACCTATGCTTATCCTTTGATTATTCACATTGTTTGATATTCTCTGTACAGAATTATTTTTATAGCAAAATCAGTTTTCCATTAACCATTTCTCCAGTCTAGAACTCAATGAAAAAATGTTCTAATGTGTCACACCAAAATGTTTTTTTTTCATTTTTTAATTTATTGTTGTTCAAGTACAGATGTCTGCCTTTTCCAGCTTCCTTTCCCCCCCACCCCAGCCATCCCCACCTCCCACCTCTGATTCCACCCCCCTTGGTTTTGTCCAAATGTCCTTTATAGTTGTTTCTGAAAAACCTTTCCCCCTTTTCTACCCATTCTCCCCACCCACCTCCCCTCTGGTTACTGCCCATTTGTTCTCAATTTCAAAGTATCTGGTTATATTTTGCTTGCTTGTTTGTTTTCTTAATTAGGTTCCACTTAAAGGTGAGATCATATGGTATTTGTCTTTTATTTCACTTAGCATAATGCTCTCCTGATCCATGTATGATTTTAAATAAATTAAATTCACCATTGAAATGTATTCTTTACTGTGTTTTAAAAAGTTAAACTTTATTGTATTTTCCCATGACCATTTAATCCCCTTATACCAACCTCACCCTGCCTGCAACCACCACACTGTTGTCCCTGAGTCCTTTTTCCTTTTTGCTACAGTCCCTCCACTCGCTAAACCCGTCACCCCTGATTGGCTGTCACCTACTCACCATCTACGACTCTGTCTCTGTTTTGCTTGTTTGTTGAGGTCCACCCTGCCTGGTCTCAGAAATCTGTAACCACCTGTGACTAAGGCTGAGTAAGAGGCCTCCGAACCAGGAAACACTAAGGAGACAAAAACCTTATTTCCCTGGCATGAACACTGCCTGTTCTGTGCCTGGCCTCCTATGCTTGATCAGTTCGCCAATGATGGATAAGATTTCCCAGGGGGGGAATCGCCTAAGACTGGCATGATCAGGTGGAGGCCTCAGGGGAGGACTTGGGGGGCTGTGGAAATGAAGGGCTGATCGACATCGACCCCTGCCCCCTCAGCTTTGCCAAATCCTGAGTCCTTGAGAAATCCAAGGCTCCAGGCTGCCTTTGCTTCCTCTGGCCGTCTCAGGCCTAGAGAAATAACAGGGACAGTGTAGTCCAGACCAGAGTCGGCAGATCCCTGGGGTAATTAGACCTGAGACATAGAGTATGAAAGATTCTGTAAGACCTGCTTGCTGGAGGATGCTCTTGAATTAGAACATGAAGGCACAGCCAGGAAACAAAACTAAGCTTTTAGGTCATGTAGTCTTTTTAAATGATAAAACCCCTAAATCTCAGAATCCCAGCAGGAGATCTGCCAGTGCCTTTCAAAGCTAACTACTTGTAATTTGCAAACTGTATCTTTATTCAAGAATAAAAGCCTGCTTGCATGGGAGAATGAGGCGCTCTACCCTAGAGAGAGTGGCCATTTCATACCTATTTCCCCACAGGACTCGGTTGTCCATGTGTATGTTTTTTCTAATATTTTGATGAGCATCCGCAGCTGCAATGGATACCACTGGCCCGGTATCCATCTCACTTGTTCATTCACTTTGTTCAGTGAGTTACACCTATGAATGAAATCATATGGTATTTGTCTTTCCCTGACTGGCTTATTTC